TCGCATTTAATTCACATTCCTCTTTCACAGCTTTTCACGTTTATTTTCATATACAAAGCAATATGTGGGTGTATAATATACATATAATGTGTGTATATATATCATAATCATGGAGATATTCATAATCCTAAACAAAGTTGAATGAAACAAACCTTTAATACAATCTTCATTGATTCTGCATCTTCTTTTCATTCGTCAAATTACTTCTGTGTTTGCCAGCCACATGAATCACAGAATCTGCATGCATGGTGGTTGTTTTATAAATTATGCCTCCCTCACCTTATCTTCGTTATAAAGCAACAGATAGTTACATTCTATTTATGTCTTAGCCAGACTTGTTTGTAATGCGATCAAAGAACATTTCATGGAATTTGTAGTGGTGCTTCTCCTCTCAAGACCACATATACCTAAGCTGTGTTTTCGAAAAGAAAGATCTAATTTGTCACTATTATTTCCAGTAGGACTTCATAGATGAAGTATGTTTTCACATCTCAGTGTAGCAATACTCACTCAACTTTCTTTTCCTCTTGCGAGTGTTTCCCTGTGGTTACTCATTTGCTGAAAAATCCTTCCTGTTTTGTTAGTATTTCCAGCTATGCTTTCCTCACTGCTATTCATATATTTAAAAAAACAGACCTTTAAACTGATTGTTTTAACTAAGACATTATCACCCCAGAATTGCAAATCAAACATATACAAACTTGAGTGTAAAAATAATGTTCTCTTCAAACAACAACTTTTAGATTAGTAGTCCTATTAAACAAGCAACAGTTTTCTAACCTAACAAGCAATATCAATACAGTACTCTCAAAACCAAATTTTCTAGAACTATGCTTACTCAAATCAGTTTGATGTACTTCCTTCATACAATAATATGGCATTGTTAGAATTTTATTATTTCTCATTCTAAGTAATACCTTATTCCATAACTACTTTACTATAAAATGAATACAAGTATTAAGTAAGGGACTATTTCAGGATCTGCACTGTATTATACAGTCAACAGGACACATCTTCAGAAAGCAGTGGTGACTTTTGTTTTACATAGTTTTTAATATTCCTTCTTTTGTTATGGATCATTTTCATGTAGATCATTTTTACAAAATTAGTTGCAGTTGATTCATTCTAACATAAAACTTACTGCTACTACCGTGCAACACACTCATCGTCAGTGTAACTGGTTCAGAGATTCCAAATTTCCTCTGCTTTCTAATCCTTGTCTGTAACGTCATCCTCATACTCAGTAAATTAATCTGACAAATAAGGTGGTTTTTAATAGGCTCAAAATTATGCAAAGTCCTGCTCATAACTACACTAGTTAAAAACTTTTAGGCACTATAAATTACATTCTCAGCCACACCTCAAATAATTTTCTAGTAACTTGCTATTATTACTGTTATTGCAAATTACTGTAGGTATCAGAAGAGTCCTCAGAATCATATTTTTCACATCTAAATTGAAAAGTTCTGAACTTCACTATTTAAGTTTTACCATGTACTTGGCATTCCTTTTATTGCAATCCAAAGAATTCAGATTATCTATAGAACATTTACTATAGCTAATATGTAGGTAACTACTCTTCAGTAAGCATTATCTTTTATTTAATATTTCTGCTATAACAAAGCATGATGTGCAGAATTTCTCCTGACTTTATGGATGTCAATATTTTAGTTGTTTGGGTTTCGGTTTGGTTTGGTGGTTCAGATTTTTTTTTTTATTTTATTTTTTTTTTTTTTTTTTACTTTAACTGCTTATATTACTTTCAATACAAAGCATTCTTTCCATTAGCATTTCTCTTTATCTGCAAAAAAATCGAAAACCTTCTGCCATACTATTCATGACTGCAACATGTTTGCTTTCATTCAGATGGTCTTTTTAAGTTAGCATTCCTATATTGAACAAGTACCGTTAAGTCCACATTTTTACAGGAATGTTTATCTCTATCCATAATTATTATTATTCCATTGATGTAGGAGGCAAGGTACTTTGATTCTATGAAGGCATGTGTGTCATAAAAAACTTAGAATGCTGTCACTGTATTGTTAAGTTTCTCATCTGGTTTACTGAAAGTGCTAAAATAGCAGATCCATCCAGTGTCTAGAAGTAAATATATTCTTGAATATATACAATCATGCTTAAGGCAGTACTTTAGGCAAACAGATGCACAAATGAGAGAAAAATGGATCAGTATTGAATCATAAGTTAGGAGAGTTCAGCATAGAAAGACACTGGAAATTTAGGTTAACAAAAGGAGGAAAAAAAAGAAAAAGGGAGAAGACACAGAACTCAAGAGAAGGAGAGGACTTTAACAGGTATAAATCAAGAAAATATTATCATAGGGAGGAAGAGAATAATTTCATGTTTTAATAAGTTAGACTTTACCAGTACACAACTTTGTAAGTCTGTCTCACTTTTTGTGAGCCACATAGCACTCAATTTTTAAAATAAAGACTAATGCTATATTTTGTTAAATGTCTTTAATACGGATTGTATATTCTTCACATTTGATTTTACATTTCTACAAACACCTTTAAATTATAAGTACGTTAGGAAACCAGCACATTTTATATGAAGATGGAAGAACAATACTTCTTTACTATTCAAAACCATTAAAAATTCCATGAGTGCCATGTTCTTCTTTTTCTATGTCTTCACTACAGTACTATCTCTCACAGAAAATACGGGTATCAGCATCAAAGGAAAGGTTCAGCAATCTTCCATATCAGAAGTTAGGACAATACTCTCAACATGGAAGGCAGGATGGTCAGAGAGGTAGCAAGCGAAAAGCTTCAGAAGGAATGGTAGCTAAAAAGAGTCAGGAAAAAGAAAAAAAGAAAAAGAAAAGGAAATATAAGATAACAAATTGAAAAGATCAGGAAACAACAAAATACACAGGAAATAGCAACAATTGTGCTTATTCATTTTAGAAACAGTACAGAAGAACACTGACAGAAAAGGTGAGGAATAAGGCAGCCATTCTTAAAGAGTTCTTCAGAGAAGACCTAGTATGGTATGAAATGCTCTGTTATTCCTCTCTTAAGGTGACATGCCACTCTTAACTTTTAGTTTGAGCTAGTCAATTCAAAATAGGATTCCTGTGAAGTCAGTAGACTGAAACAGGCACCTCCAGAGGGCGATTCATCCCATCCTAAGGTCTGAATCTTAGACTCTGAATCATGTATTTGAAATGTAATTAATTTTGTGAAGTTCACTAGGTATTTGTGAACCTAGCAGTATAAATTTAAGCTTAATTCTATGGATAGCAACATGTGTATTAAAATAATATGAGAAACAATATATTTTCAAATTCCTTTACTCTGAACAAAGCAAATTTACTAATGACTTTCATCTGCATAGAATAATATGCAGATATTTTTTATTACTGAACATTACTCATGTTCACTATACTGAGCACAAAAATTAAGTCTGACCCAAAAAAAAAGAAAGCTTGCTTTTCTAATTAGGTAATCCTGGGACTTTATCTGCTGTAAGTAAAAATTAAAGCTCAACGTCACTGGGATTCTCTATTACCAGCATTAAGACCTAATACACGCAATATCACATTTAACTCATACTTACAATGGCACTGCTAATATTGCAATAATTTGTTACTAAATACAGTAAATACTGTTGTGAAAAAAATCCACTGAAATCCTCTGTCATGGTCATTGACACTTATAACGGTTGTTTTAAAAGAACTATAATTAAATACAAGAGTCATGGGTGAAGGGCTGGTTTCAAAGTCCATATATAGCCCAGTCTCTGTTCAGGAAGCTTCAGTGTGGAGAAGGCCTATGGGGACAACCTGTTCATACCACCTTCATCAGCTTGCCAGCCCAGACACAAAACCAAGACTCTGCTCTTACAGAACTGCAATACGAAAGCTTAAGTAACCAGAGAAGAGGATGGAAAAGGGACGCTTTCATCCTGGGCACTGATGTGGGGCTGGAATATACACCAAAGGGACAGTTCACAATCTGCACTCCCTTGTTAGTATGAAAAGTCTGACAGAAATAATCCTGGGACTCTGCAATTCATACCTCACTGGAGACCTATGCATACAATAGTCTTCCACTAATGACTATTTCAGAATACAGTCATCCTGATACTGCCTATTACATGAGGACAACACAGAGTTGTCAGTTACAGTGCAATTAAAGACATCTTTAAAATCTAAAATCTAAATATCACACTTGAAATGTGATTTTGTACTGAAGAATTTACATAATCTAAACAATTCCGGAGTCATGTAACAAAATAGTGTAACACTAACGCAAAACAACAGCAAGGTCTAATTATCAAGTATGGCATGAAGCCGCTGTTTAGAAGTTCAAAAAGTTGTATCTGTATTTAATTTCATTTTCATTTTAGAGTGACCATAAAGAGGACACCTATGTCAGTTTCTGAGTATTCATATATTCACTGGGTGCTCTTAAAAACTGTTGCCCAGTGAGTGATGCACACTGCACAGGAAAGGGAACCCTATCAGACAGCAATTTATAGCTTAATTCTTATGCAGACCTCTCTATTAGCAGAAATTCATACACCCCCTTCCAAAAAGCACACGCTACCTCATTTGTGAATTGGCACCATAAGGCCTCTCCCTGCTCTACCCATTTTCACTCTTTCAGTCCCCAGAATGAGGATAGAAATGGGGCAGCTTTAGAGGGGATACTACTCTGCTCTACATTGGCTCAGGGTTCAGTTACATTGAAGTGTTGCTCAGGTGGAAAGTTAAGGCATCTTATATTCACCAAGTGAATATAAGAAAACAGGAGGTCCCTATCTCTGTATTTAAAAACAAGTTTTTAGCATGGTAATTCATGAAGACCAGTTATAGTTACTATGTAAATATTACTTGCTTAGTTTTAAGAGTACATAATTTTCCTAAACAGTTACTGCATTATAATACCATATATACTCCTGGGTATCATACATGAACAAATTATTTAATTTAAACATTTCTTTCCCATTTCCTAATTTATTTTCTCTTATTACAGCTTATGGCTAAAATCCACACACTGATGTCTAACCTGTAATGAAAGCTGATGTAAGTAATCCATTGTTTTACAGCTGTATTTGCTGATAAATTAATTGACTTTACTTAGTTCTGTAGAATAATGGTTAACAGTTTTGATTTTCAATTTCAGCATTATTACAATTAAGTTTTGCATGCAAATTTTGCCACTCTTAAGGGTTACTGCCAGCATACCTGCCAGTGCCCTGCCCCAAATCGTACTGAATAGAATTAACAGAAATATATGTAAAAAACTGGCTTTGATTTTTTGATGTCCAACAGTAGGGTTTTTAAGAGCTAACATTGGGTAGTCCTCTTTTTCAATGCATTTTGTGACTCAGATTAGCTCTGAGTGTCAATTTAAAGCCTTCTTTAGAAGCAAAAATGCACAGAGAGCAAAATACAGCTTAGCACAGCAGTTATGTCAGAAAGGTGAAGTCTCAGACTGTTTTCCATGCAAGCATAAAGGATGATATATGTCTGAGTACTAAACACAAACTACTAATGTAAATACTTACCTGACTCTTCCCTTCTCACCCTGTTATTTCTCCTATGCTCATTACATTGTTTTTCATCTTTCCCTTCCTTCTGCAAAGGAAAAGAATTTCCTCTTCTCTATTTAAGTTTCTTCCTTTCACATCTGCTTTTTCCTACCCACCTGCACAATTTCTGAAATTCCCAAATTTAAAAGGGCTATGGATCCAATCCTGGGGTGAAATACCAAGTCCTGAAGTTTTTAGAATGGCTGAAGATCAGTGACTTGAATTTTAAATTTTTGTGTTCTCTCATTTTCAACAATGATATAAAATCACCAGAATAAAGTTTAGCAATGAAAACATATTTAGATAACTGTAATCTTAGAATGAGATCACCATTCTGTGAAGAGCTCTGCTCATACAGCAAAACATGATTTTTACCAATTTGGAAGTATATTATTATCTCTGATACTTTATGCTTAGCTGTTATGAGAAGCCCACGTACACTTTTCTCCTTTAGTAGCCATTTTAAGTGATGCACTGAATGCTTCAACAAATGAAATGATTCATGTCTTTAAATACTTTACAACCAGCTCATGATAAGATATTTAGGAGATAAAAATAGCTAAAGTTAAGCCTAGCATATTGTATATAAATGTAAATATTTTTTTCTCCTGTAGCAATTCATAAACAACATTTATTACTTGTATCCATGACATACATTTTTAGATGCCAGCTCTTCTAAACACAAAATCCATCTTCACAAGATTTTTTTCCAAGTAACTTAATAGCCATTATATCAGATGTTGTTTCACACATAGTATCAACATTTGATGTTTTACTGACATGATAACAGAAAGTCAGCCTAGTCTAAGTTACTCTGTAGAGGATAGTGGCAAAACTTCAAGGTATTACCTCTCAGGTATCAAGAACTCCTGCGATCTTGAAAGATAAAATGATATATGACAAGAAAAAAAGAGTAGAGTCAGTTTTTAGGGATCAACATTGACTAACTGAAAGAGGGATCTCTATAACCACTATAAAAATCTGCCTAAGAAGGAAGCACCAAAATAGTTTTCCATTAAAATGCACCCTCTAACAAATGAAGTATGCTTTATTTTATTACTCTTATGGTGATTTTGCTGCCTAACCTGTCTGTATTGTTAGATGCTGAGAGACTTACTAATTAATAACTGGATCTGAAACTTTTACAGAAATGATGCTTCTGCCTAGCTGAGTTTAGTCAAGGACATAAGTATGCAATCATGTATTAAGAAGGAAAGCTTAAATAAAAGCTTAAGGCTTATGAAAAGCTCTGTGGCAAAAAATAAAAAATAAAAATGCTGCATTAAAAAAAACACCCTTGCATTTAGGGCTGCCCTAAGACACTGGCTTTCAGTCTTTCTGCAGACTCTTTAGTCTTTGTGAACAACTTCTAAGGGAGTGCAAAATAATAATAAAGTAAAGCAATCATCCAGTGATTCAACTGGTGATTCAACTTATCACCAGTAGGTGCAATCACCCACTGATTAGTTAATTTATTTTTAGGAAGGTCACAGATCACAGAAAAAGGCAAATCAAAGGGACCATGCTTTAGAAATCTGAGATTTCTTTCTGATGTTTAGCAAGACAAGCATTATCCAAAAAAATCATAATTCATCATCATCTGGAAAAAAACACATTCTAATGAGTACTACACAGAAAGGGTAAAAAAAAAAAAAAAAAATAAATAAAATACCAGTTCACCTATGATCAGCAGATTTCAAATGACAGGACGTGTTCCCCTTGGAGAATATGCAAAGTGTATATTGGAAAGGAGAGACATTTTGCACCCAGCACTTTCACAGCATCGCACTCGAATCCCTTTTACCTCAGCACTCATGAGGCCGCACCTCAAATACTTGGTTCAGTTTTGGACCCTTCACTATGAGAGATATATTGAGGTGCTGGAGCAGGTCCAAAGACAGGCAACAGAGTTGGTGAAGTGGCTGAGAGGACTGGCGTTGTTTAGCATGGAGAAAAGGAGGTTCAGGGGACACCTTACTGCTCTCTACAACTATTTGAAAGGACATTGTAGTGAAGTAGGTGTCAGTCTCTTCTCCCAAGCAGTAAATGGCAGGACAACAGAAAACGGCCTCAAGTTTTGCCAGGGGAGGTTTAGATTGGATATAAGGAAAAATGTCTTCATCAAAAGGGTTGTCAAGCATCGAAGCAGGCTGCCCAGAGTGTTGAAAAGACGTGTAAATGTGGCATTTTGGAACATGGTTTAGTGGTGCCCTTGGTAGTGTTAGGTTTGTGGTTGGCCTTGATGATCTTAAGAGGCCTTTCCAACCTAAATGGTTCTGTGATTCTATTCTGTGATTCATTTGTCTGCCTGCACGTGCAGTGGAAAACCCATAGGCTAGAGACAGAAAAAAATGTAGTGGGACAGAAGAGAGGCTTTAGATGGGAGGGATTTCTGGGACCATTTGTACTTTTGTGTGTAACTGTTCACACAGTAAACAGGAAAGTAGGTTTTCCAATTAAAAGGGTCATGTGCAGGAACTGGAGAAGAAGCTGGGGTTCCGGAAGACACAGGGAAGGGTGTAGCTAGGGCAAGTGTAGCATGAGCTAGATTCAGCTAGAGAGCTTTAGCCATGTTATGTTGTTAAGTGACTTCCAACTAACCCTAATATGTTTATCCAATTGTGACCTCTCCAGCTCTTACAGAAACTCTGTTCTGACTCCTGAATTCTTCATTCACAACACACTCATCCCTCTCCTACCTATACACCCATCACTGCTTCTCTATGCATGTGCCTTGCATAGGCACATGAATCTCTCCCTCCTGTCACTTGCAAATGACACAAGAAATAACCTTTTTCCTTACTACAGCAGAAGGCACTCTCTCCTCCGTTACATGGTCTTTTCTGATACAAGGCAAAGATTCCCCTCCATCTCATATTCTGCTAGCAGCTTAAGCCTGAGCAAAGACAATTTCAGAATCATACAAGTTAGCAACAGGTATTCAGCAAGATAACATAAAAACATCCGCAAATGTTTTCCATTACATTTTCCATATGTATCAAAACACGTAAGAAACACAGAACAAAAAGTTTACACAGAGCCTGCCAACTTTCTTTAGTTCCTTTTGAAGCACTATTGCCAGTAACATTTGTTTCCAGTATTTTGTTTGAATTCCATAAAATACACTACAGTACTATTAGATTAGACAAACTGGTTTCAAGATAAACATATTTATACCATTTGAATAAGGCTTATAATTTGGCATTTCTCTAATTTGACATCATCATAATTCCTAACATAAAGAAGTGCAGAATGCTGGAAAAGACAAAATCTTCACAAATTAGTTATGGATGTGCTTGCATTGTACTCAAGACAATGGGAAGTAACCTATGTCAAGAGCAAGAAAAAGCACTGATAATAGAAATACTATATGAGTTTGGAAAAGTTTCACTAAGAAAAAAAAGTAGTAAGAGACCTGATATGAGGACAAAGAAGATTTGTACAACATAAAATTACCATTCAGGGAGCTGACATAAAATAAAAGAAGTTGGTCAAATAGAATTGGGATTTCATTTAAAAATAATAAACAGATATTGTAATTAGACATGCTAATACTTGAAAAGAAAGTTTATGTTAATAATGACAGAACAGAAAATGTAAAAATCTCTTTTTCTGGTGATAAGAAACCAGGTATTAATTCAAAGACATATATGTTTTAAACTAGTGGAGTTGACAAGTTTAATCTTTACCTGCGGAGGACCTAAGACTTGAAAAACTATACTTACTTCTCACAAAACTGAAACTACTATGCATGAGTATTTATGAATATAAAAAGTAGGCGTAGCAAATACTTTTAGTGATACTTAAGAACAACAAAATGATTGATAACCCCACAATCCTGTTTCTGGGGAGGGCCTGGTGGGGACAGAAGTGTTAATGCTACCAGACTGCTCTTCCGGCTCCTTTCTAGGAACCTCTTGCTGTTGCTGGTGGAGAGCCATGCAACCTATCTAAAGCTAAGAAAGCAGGGGGTGCTCTTTACCTTTTCACACACTCCAGAACAGTGGTTCCCATATTTCTGGAACAACAGATCGTTACCAGCCCTTAGCATTTTTCAAAACGTATCACACACCCATCTGATCAAGCTTTTAACTGGAAACACTATTTAAAACACTGTTAGCTATGGTTTAGGCAAGCAGCTGTTCAACTTACCATAGCCTTGTAATCCACCAGGGGTTTGTGGGCCACAGCTTGGAAACCATTCCAGCTGTTTCAAAGGCACAATGATGTCTTCTACTCCATCCCTCCCTCCAGACCTTCTGGTTGCTGTGTGAAACATTTCTACTTCTTTATCTGGTTCTTCCTGGGATTAACTTTATGGCCTACTACTGTGTTTAGCCTTCTGAAGTAGTAGCAAACTGTCATTCTTCATTGCCCACATTTCTGCAAACAACAGAAGTGAAATTGATCTATCTGCCCATCTATAATATTGCCACTGCCAGAAAAAGAACAAACAGAAGCTGAGGATAGAAAAATACCTGCAGAGCATTT